GGGAGGCTGAGGCAGGCTGAGGCCGAGGCAGGCTGAGGCCGAGGCAGGCTGAGGCTGAGGCAGAGGCAAGCCGAGGCAGGCTGAGGCTGAGGCTGAGGCTGAGGCAGGCTGAGGCTGAGGCTGAGGCTGATGCTGACGCAGGCTGAGGCCGATGCAGGCTGAGGCTGAGGCTGAGGCAGGCTGAGGCTGAGGCCGAGGCAGGCTGAGGCTGAGGCAAGCCGAGGCAGGCTGAGGCTGAGGCTGAAACTGAGGCAGGCTGAGGCATCCGTAGGAATCCATAGGATTCCGTAGGAATCCCTAGGAATCCTTAGGAATCCGTGGGCATCCTTAGGAATCCGTAGGCATAATTAAGCATCATCAGGGATCCTTAGGAATCCTCGGGATTCCTTAGGAATCCTTTGGAATCCCTAGGAATCCCTTGGAATCAGGATTCCGAATGTTTCCTAAGGATTCCTATGGATTCCTAAGGATGCCTAAGGATGCCGTAGGAATCCCTAGGAATCCTTAGGATTCCATTGGATCCTAAGGCCGTTGCCACTGCGACTGTCATTGCGAATGCGACTGCGATTGCGAAAACAGCAGAATTCTACAACTGGATTCTCACCTGAATCTTAAGGGGAATGCTTCCAGATATGCTTATACACATCGCTGTTAGGTTGCTTTGCCGGGATATGTTTGTGTATTCGGCGTCTCGACACTGGGCGGAAGGGGGGGGGGGGGAGGAGGAGGGAGGAGGAGGAGGAGGAGGAGGAGGAGGAGGAGGAGAGGAGGAGGAGAGGAGAGGAGAGGAGGAGGAGGAGGAGAGGAGGAGGAGGAGGAAGAGGAGGAGGGGGGGGGGAGGGGTCTGGCTCCAGACCTCTGCTCAGTGCGACTGTTTGCAAGAGTGCGGCCTCTGGGGGAGGCTCCGCCCGCTCGAGACAAGCGCCAGAAAACAGCCAAGAACTATTCCATGGGGTCGAGGGGAGGGGAGGTTTGGGGGCCCGCGCCGATCGGCAAAACAATGAAGAAGAAAACAACCACCTGCCTGCGCCCCCCCACACTGTGCGCCCGCTGCCTCCTCCCACCGGTGGCGCGGGGCCTGCCCCCCGCGGGCGAAGAGCTGCGCAGCCTGGCGTCGTTTGCTCCGCCAACGGGGGCGCCCGTCCCAGAGCGGCCAGGAAGCTCTCGTGCCCGTGCGGTGGCAGGTGCGGGCCTGAACTTTCCTAGGGAGCCGCATGCGAACCCTACCCCTACCCCCCACGATTTTTGAGGGGGAGGGTGGGGTTCACTTCGCTCGAGAGCTCCCGAAAGAAGTGAACCCCACCCTCCCCCTCAGAACTCGCGGGGGGTAGGGGTAGGGTTCGCATGCGGCCCCCTATTTCCAGCCGCCCCGGGGCAGGCGCCCCCCGATGGTGGGGCGGCTTGTGTCATACCGCTCCTCGCCCGCTAAATCTTGAGGGGCCTCGAAGGGGCAGCATACCACGCCTCCTGGCCGGCAGAGGGACCACGGGATTCGGCGAAGGGACTCTGCGAGTAGGTGCTTCAACACCCCAGAGCTGCTGAAGCTGGGGCGTTTACTCATGGCCCTCGGTAGCCCTAAAAAAACGTCCTGGGGCCCCCTCGGGTGGCCGACGACAACGGCGACGGCGACGGCGACGACGACGACTAGGACGACTCCGAAGAGGACGAGGACGAGGACGAGGACGAGGACGACGACAATGTTGACCAGAGACCACTTGGTGTATGCCTCGAAGCCCTCCGAGGGCGGCCACCGAACACGGCCAGCTCGCGCCGCGATGGCGCTGCTGGCGCGCTGAGGCTGCTGGCGGCTGCGGCCCTCCGATGGCGCAGAGCGCTCGAGACCGGCCGACCCAGGGCCACCAACTGAGGACCACCAACTGAGGTGCCACCAACTGAGGGCCACCAACTGAGGGTGCCCGGGTGCCCCTGGCGCTTCGCTCCATCGTGGAGCCCCTGGGGCCCTCTGGGATACGAGACCGTTTCCCCGGGAACCGTTTCCCCGGAACCGCTTCCGCGGGACCGTTTCCCCGGAGGACCGTTTCCCCGGAGACCTCTTCCCTGGGGACCGCTTCCCCGGAGCACCGTTTCCCCGGGACCGTTTCCCCGGTTCCGTTTCCCCGGGAACGCTTGCCCGGAACCGTTTCCCCAGAGCCGTTTCCCCGGAGCCGTTTCCCCAGAACCGTTTCCCCGAAGCCGGCGTTCCCCTGAACCGTTTCCCAGGTGCACCGTTTCCCCGGAACCCGGAACCGCTTCCCCGGATCCGTCTCTGCCACGACGACGACGACAACAACGATGGCGGCGACGACGGCGACGACGACGACGAAGACACCGACGACGAGGACGACGACGACGACCACGACGACGAAGACGACGGAGACGACGACGACGACGAGGACGAGGACAAGGACGAGGACGACGACGAGGACGAAGACGACGACGAAGACGACGACGGTGCCGACGCCGACAAGGACGACGACGACGAAAACGACGACGACGGTATTTTTCTCCTGCTCATCCTCCCCGTCCTCTTCCCGTGGGCGGCCCTCGCGCTCCTCCTGCTCCTGTTCCCGCTCCTCCCGCTCCTCCTCCTCCTCCTGCTCCTCCTCCTCCTCCTCCTCCTCCTTCTCGACGTCCTCCTCCTTCTCGACGTCCTCCTCCTCCTCCTCCTCCTCCACCTCCTCCTCCTCCTCCTCCTCCTCCTCCTCCTCCTCCTCCTCCTCCTCCTCCTCCTCCTCCTCCTCCTCCTCCTCCTCCTCCTCCTCCTCCTCCTCCTCCTCCTCCTCCTCCTCCTCCTCCTCCTCCTCCTCCTCCTGCGGACCTCCAGCGAAGTAAGCCCGCCCACAACAGTCACCCAACGACTTGGGTGACTGTTTTGGCGCGGGCGTTTTTCCGGGCGACGGCCTCACCCTCCTCCTTTAGCTGCTCCTCCTCCTCCTCCTCCTCCTCCTCCTCCTCCTCCTGGACTCCTCCTCCTCCTCCTCCTCCCTCCCTCCTCCTCCTCCTCCTCCTCCTCCTCCTCCTCCTCCTCCTCCTCCGCCTCCTCCACCTCCACCTCCGGACGACGACGACGACGACGACGACGACGACGACGACGACGACGACGACGACGACGACGACGACGACGACGACGACGACGACGACGACGACGACGACGGTGTTTTTTCTCCTCCTCATCCTCCCCGTCCTCTTCCCGTGGGCGGCTTTCGCGCTCCTCCTGCCACTGCTCCTGCTCCTCCTGCCCCTACTCCTCGTCCGCCTCCTGCGGACCTCCAACAAAGCAAACACGCACAAACAGTCACCCAACGCCTTGGGTGACTGTTTTGGCGCGGGCGTTTTTTCCAGGCGACGGCCTCCTGTTCCTCCTCCTCATCCTCCTCCTCCTCCTCCTCCTCCTCTACCTGCTCCTTCTCCTCCTCCTCTGGACGACGACGACGACGGCGACGACGACGACGACGGCGACGACGACGACGTCGGCGGCGGCGGCAGCGGCGGCGGCGGCCTGCTGCTGCTGCTGCTGCTGCTGCTGCTGCTGCTGCTCCTCCTCCTCCTCCTCCTCCTCCTCCTCCTCCTCCTCTATCTCGGTCTTTGTTGAACCGGTCCTTGTTGAACCGGTCGTCTGTTGAACCGGTCCCTCTTGAACCAGTCGTCTGTTGAACCAGTCCCTGTTGAACCGGTCGTCTGTTGAACCGGTCTTCTTCCCCCTCTGGGCCTCGTGGAGGGTGCTCTGGAGGCCGTGGGGGCCTCTCCTCGGGAATCTCGGGGGCACCTCGGGCCAGGGGGGCACTTCTGGCAGCGTCCGAACCCACGGCGGCCAACCCTGGAGGCCCGCGCCGAGGGTCGCCGCTGCGTCGGGGCGGCGCGGACCCGCCGCGCGGTCCGGCTGCTGCCATCGGGGACCCCGGAGAGGGGACAGACGTCTCGTCTTGCCCGACGAGCTGCCGCACGTCGAGGGGGAGCGTGAGGGGGGGTGACTGGCACGAGGGGGGGCGGCGAGGCCTCGCCGAGAGGTCGGCAGTGGGCCCCCGATGGCGGCTCTGCACGTCCCGTGGGCGGGGTGGGCGATCGGCCCCTGTCGACGACCAATGACGATCAATGGGCGATTGGGGGTCGATGCATCCCCCCTGAGCCTCCCCCCACCTGGCTTTCAGGCCACAATGAAGGGGCCCAGGGACGCAAAAATAAACACATACACACACATCCCAGTATTCCCCATGTGCTTCAATCTTTTCGGATCTTCGTCTTCCCCCCCCGCACTTCCAATAGTTTCCCAAATTTTCAGGGGAATCGACGATTCGTTGTGTCTGTGCGTTTGTTTCCTCCTGACATAACTCGTGCCTCTGGCCCAAATTTTCTGGGGAATCGACGATTCGTTGTGTCTGTGCGTTTGTTCCCTCCTGACATAACTCGTGCCTCTGGCGGCCGCTCGGGACGCTGCAGGAGCCCCCTCCCCCCCGTGGTGCGATGCGTGCGAGGTGCGGCTGCCTGCCGGAGAGAGCGCACCGAGGCGGGAGGGCCGCCGAGAACGGGCGGAGACATCCCTGGAACCTCGAACCGGGAACCTCGAAGCCTCGTTCCCCCCCCCCCGAGCCTCTCTCCTCTACACACACGTCGTTCATTTCTAATTTTGTTTCTGGCCCCGTAGTGGCCAGGAAGAGGCCAAGGATAGAACAATGAGAAATGAGAGGATCTTGGCCCCCCAGAAATCAGAGAACTTTCGAAGACTTAGGAAAGAACGCTGTGTAACTTGTGATTGCTCTTTGTTTTTGTGCTTTCCCTCCCTTGCCTTGCTCCTCTCCGCCGGGCGCGCGCCTCCCCTCTCCCCCCTACATAGTGGCTCCTGACAGGTTAGGGGGCCACATGCGAACCCTACCCCTACCACCCACGATTTCTGAGGGGGAGGGTGGGGTTCACTTCGCTCGAGAGCTCCCGAACGAAGTGACCCCCCCCTCCCCTTCAGAAATCGTGGGGGGTAGGGGTAGGGTTCGCATGTGGCCCCCTACAGGTACACCGCGCCCATTCGGGCGGGCCAGGAAGCGGGGAGCGGGAGCGCGAGCTCGATGGCCACGAGGCTGCACCTGGCGACTGAAGACACGAGAGCGGGAGCCAGGCGGACTCCACATTCAAACAGCCATCATCATCCACGAGCCCACTGTCGCACGCTTTGGGCGGAGGGAGGGCAGGATGGCAAACAACATTGAAATCGAGATGGGGCGCCCGTCCTCACACCGGGTCCAACTCGTCGGAGTACAGGCCCACCGACAGCAGATCATCCATGCATATTGGATCCGACGCAGCAGCGCCAAACACTGGCAGCGCCAAATCCATCGCCTGCTCAACCCTTTGGAGTCGCCGCTTCATGTCTCGGAAGTCCTTGCTCTGCTTTTTCAGGACGCCTTTCATGTCTACCGTCAGCATCTGCAGGTCGAAGCTAGTCGCGGCGCCCGCCAGTCGCATGCAACCGTGGACGAAACACATGATCTCGACTTCACCGCTGGGGGACGACGCGCTGAGTACGTCGAAGAAACGCTCCACATCGTGGCGGTTGAGCCCGATCAGCTGCAACAACATGGGGATCCGGCCCTTCTTGAGACCGTCCGCGAACTGCTCCCTGCTCAACATGCCGGTCGTGTCGGCGTCCACCTCGCGGCAGAGATTGACCAACTCTAGAGCGTGCGCTTCCTTCTCCTGTTGCAGTTCCCGGGCCAGCGCCTCCTTCCCTGGGGCCAGGTTCTGCATCGCGGAGTCGACAAAAATGCCAGTGATGATCCGCCAGCGCAGAGAGACAGAAAAGTTGAAATGAAATATCCTGTCACTTAAGGGATAATCTCATACATGTTAAGTCATTGCAAAGAAGAAAACATGCAATGCGACAGTCTGGCTGATGCTTGGGGACTGGGACGTGCTTTGCGTGTCCCGCCGAATCGTGGTGGGCCAGAACCAGCGGCGTCACGTTCCTGATCCTCCACCCCCACACCCGAAAGAGAATCCAGAACGGTGCCAAGACCCCTGCAAGGCTTCGACGAAGCGCTCAATTAGCCGGAAGCACTGGAAACTATACATAATGAACTGTTTCTGTTTTGCCGGAACATCCATATCCACGACCCCATGGATACGGCGCGGCTTTGCGCGGATGCCCCGCGCGGGACGGACCCATACGATCTGCGGGTTGGGGCGCATAACGCCCCCCCGCGTTTTTTACGTTTTCAAG